AAGCAAACCAAATCTTCAAAGATGACACTAGTTCACAAAACTAAGCCCACACAAACCACAGCCTTTTCTAACCTGAGATCAGAAGAACTAGATGGTGCCCAACCACCACAACTAACCATTCTGACCAGGAATGCAACCAAAGGTGCTAGAGGGAATGAAAAAAAAAAAAAGTTAACCAAAATTCAAATTCCTAAAAAAAAAAAAAAAAAGAACTGATAGAAAATAGAAGAACAGGAACCCCTGAGACAATTGCCCTAAGATAGTCTTTGAACTTAGAACTGAAGTTATTTCTGGGGTCACCTTTTAGCCAAATAAAATATTGGGTCAATCATCTGTAAATATTGTTCTCCCTTGAACAATCTAATCTATAAGACCAACTGCTCTGCATTAACCCCAAACAAAGATGCTACGTAAAGGAGGGGGTGGGGAACTAGAGCCACACAAACAGAGCTGGAGAATCCATTGCGAACATTGTAAACAGTGTCACACAACAATGTGCATCAAAGCTGCTAAGTGGGACATACATAATTTGCTATGTATCCTGTCACCTCTTTCTCACTGCCATTGAGCTGTGGTGCCCAACCACCACAACAACTTTACAGCAACTTTACATAGGACAGGGGTAAATCACAAGAAAATATTAGTTTTATTTTTAAAAGATAGTAAGATTATAACATAAAAATAACTTCAGTTACAGTACTAGAAATAAAAAGAGGCAACCTAAATTAAACCATAAACATGAGACATTTCTAGAGTTTAAAAAGCCTAGTTTCAGAATATCTAAAAATTGGTAATGAAAACTCTACATAACAAAAGCTACAGATTAAATACATCTAAAGCACTCTTCAGAGGAAAATGTTCTTAAAATAACCATTTTAATGAAACGAGGAATTTTTAAAATTAAAATATGAGTGAAACAAACGCTGATTTACCAGACACAATTTAAGTTTTTGAGTTCTGTTTTTGAACATTTTAACAATTTGGAAGGATTTTTGACTTACATCTTTCTTCCATAAGAAAAGACCTTCACTAAAAAATGAATTTTAGCTTAAAAAAACAGCAATAGTCAAAAAACAAACAAAAAACAAGCAATAGTCATGAAGGTAGGAAAGGCTCTAGGATGAATGTGGTGGTGGTTGTACAATCCCCCCATGAAATGTTTGAACGGACTATTCAATTTTGGGGGGGACTATTCAATTCTATATGTAAATTATGTGTCAATAAAGTTCTTGGGGGAGAAAAATCTAATAAAATAAAATCCTATTTTTGACACTTTCAAAAATCTAAAATGCATAACCTTAGTGATTTAATTATTACTTTATCTTAGAACCTTTTATTATCCATCATGCTAGCAGTTATTTTTATAACTCAGTGGGGTAGTTTTTGAGTGTTTTTTTAGAACTCCAAGATAGTTACCACTACTTGTCTCCTGGTATTCATGCCCTTATATGAGCTGAACATGAGCTGACTTTGGGAAACGACTTCTAAAGGAAATGAAAAGGTGAAAGATAGCCCGTGACTCAGAAACTGGGTTACAAAATTTAGTGTGGTGTTGCTTGGTCTTGGATCCCTGGCTCAAAGGAAGCCGGCTGCAATGTTGTGAGGACTCTCGGGCTACCTGTGGAGATGCCCAAGTGGCACAGAACTGAGACCTATCAACAACACGAGTAGGCTTGAAAGGTGATGTTTCAGCCCCACTAGATAGAACCTTGTAGATGACAGCAGTCCTGGTGGACAATTTGCCTGTAGACTCATAGGAGATAGTGTGCCAGAACCACCCAGTAAAGTTGTCTAAAAACCCCGAACCACAGAAAGTATATGGTAGCTATTTTAATGTTATTGACACTAGAAACTAGTACACTTATTAGGTATCCCAACCGTTATTTTTCTTTTTTTCTGATCATGAACATCTTTGCTGTGATATAATAGACATCATATAAATCTAGTCAACAAAATTACGACCCATTAGTCTTCAAGAGTATTGTGCTTTAATGAAGCAAGAGTAAAAATACTTAAAAAGTAATGATAAACAAAACAAGTAATGATAGAGAACACAGTAGAGATCACTTGAAATCTTGACTCAAGACAACTATGTTCCAAACTCATGTACTTTAGTTGAATAGTTAACTGCATCCAAAGGATGTTGCTTATTTTAGATATACAAGCTAAGTGAAAAAGTATTGGTACTACAGGTCTAGATTAAACATTCAAGGGTGTATTTCCAATCACGTGTGCTTAATTAAATGTCTCTCTGATGCCGAATGGCTGCAGACAAGTTCTCTCAGTAATACACTTGCCTGAGTCTTACGGCATCTAAAAAAAAAAGAAGGATCAGCGCAATGGATCCCAGGGATCCGTTGGGGCAGTTAGATTCAAGGCAGGAGCCAGCTCATAAAGCCACGGTCACTGTATTTGGACATTCTTTTAGTTTTAAAAATCATTTTATTGGGGGTTCTTACAGCTCTTAAGACATTTCATACATCAATTGTATCAAGCATATTTGTGCATATAATATTGTCATCATTTCCAAAATACTTTCTACTTGAGCCCTTGGTATAAATTCCTCTGTATTTTGACATTCTAATGAACTTGTTTTTTTGGGTTTTTTTGAACTTTTTTCTATAATGGCAAGACACCTGCTCATTCTTCGAGATTAAAGTGCTAGCCCATGAGAATTTCATTAGGAAACATTATCCTATAGCTCTAATCTTGTCCCTTCAGATTTTTTTCTTGTCCCTAAAAGCAGAGCATTGAAAAGGAATGTCCTTGAGTACATCAAGGGTGCCAGACAACAAAACTGCCATGTCTATGAGGTATAAATCAGAGTGCAACATTCTTGGGGACATGTCTTTTAAAGTGTATACATTTTCCAAACAAAACAACGCAATCCCCTGCCACTGCATCAATTCGGATTTATGATGACTCAATAGAAACTACCCCGTTGGCAGAGGCTGTAAGTTTATGGGCGCAGAAAGCCTTGTCTTTAACTTTACATTCTGTTAAATTAATAGGTCTATGATTTTTGTAGCAATACTTTTTGACTAACTCATAGTTTCACAAACGACAGGCGGCACAATATATAAAGTTCTGAATTTCATTCTAACAAACCATTAGACTTCTATGCATATGTTGAGACAATTACTAAAATGTTTTCAATAAACAAAAAATGATCAAAAGAACTAATAGTTTGAAAAACTCAACAAGTATTTTAGAACTTTTGTATAAACAACAATTAAAAAAAATTCTTAAATGTGTGACGATGAGGGAGTAACTAGTTTATTTGGTTGGGGAAGCAATGACAACACATGACGAATTTGAATCCACTCCCAGTTCATGAAATTAACCAACACACAAAATACTTCGATGAAATCATGTTAAGCACAAAAGCACCAAATAGATTTATCATTGCTACGTAAAACCATGTACCAATAATCTCAAACTTCACAAGTTATTCTTATGTTAGAGTGCTATTTATTTAGTATATTTTAAAACACAGTAACCTTTCATAAAATATGCAACTGGATATTAATTGTTCCAAAAGGGGAGGGGTAATGAATGCAATGAATCACATCATCCAGCCAGGTGTTCGTGAAGAAAATGATGAAGCATTTGTTTGCATCAATTCAGAATTTTTAAAAACTGGGGGAGTAGCTGGCAGCAGACTTGTTCTCATGCCATCAACTATAAAGGTGGGCAGAGCATCTGATACAACCACTTTCAGACATTGGACAACAGACAGCACAGGCCCTATCATCCTGGAGAGGGGGGATGGTGAGGTGAGCATCACAATCACCTTGTCTGGTTGCAAAGTGAGTGGCGGAGCCCAAGAAGAGAAATGGTCTTCCTAGGGCAGCGGTTCTCAACCTTCCCAATGCCACGACCCTTTAATACAGTTCCTCATGTTGTGGTGATCTCCCAACCATAACATTATTTTTGTTGCTACTTCCTAACTGTAACTTTGCTACTGTTATGAATCGGTGACTTCTGTGAAAGGGTCGTTCGACCCCCAAAGGA